TAAGGTGGTGGAATTATAGATTTCTGTTCTTTACTCTCAAAATCTTGATTCAATTCCTTTTAAAATTTAAGTTTTTAAAAACTATCATCTTAACTGATGTAAATTAAGAATAATTTAGGTAGGTTGTGTTAAATAAAATGTATAAAAGACTATTTTAGACAGAGTCCTATTTAAGTCTAATAACCTAACAATTTGAGGGAGTGTTCCATAAGACAATCAGTACGTCATTTTGTTTACCATTGTGTGTAATCCCCAAAAGAGTGAGTTGGGAAAAAACGTTTGCTACTTATTTTAAAATGTAAAATAAAAATTTTTTTGAAACTTTAATATGTCCTACTTAAATTTATTTTACTGCCACTGACTTTATCTAGGCCAGCGTGTTCTGTTCGAAGTTACTGCATCAAGTTCTTCCTCTAGTCCAACCCTTTGAATCCGTTTTCCACACTGTCTTCAGAGAGAGATCTTTTTGAAATCTAAATCTGTTTGTGAGATTTCACTGTTTAAACTACTCAGGGATTCAGAAAATTAAAATCTTTAGCATAGCTTACTAGCTCCTCCTAAGCTTCTCTACCTTATTTTGTGCCCTTTCTTCTCATGCACCTTCCCACCAGGCTTTACCAAACTACATGTAATACCTGAAACAGTACTCGGTCACTATTATTTCTGTCTCTTAATATTGAAATTAACACTTCATAGCCACTCATTCTCCAAATCTCAAGTGGTACTTTGTTTAGGAAGGCTTCCCAGATTCCTCATCTTTCAGAAGTCTCTTCTCTGTAATCCTACAGTGCCCCCATCACACTGTGCTATCAATGATTTGCTTATCTGCCTTTTCCACCAGGCATTAAACTTTCATTATTGTGTGGACAGGCAAGTTCCAGTGTGTATGGGTTTATTTAATTACATTTATTGGGATGACATTGGTTAATAAGATCATATAGGTTTCCAGTGTACTATTTTTATGACACATGATCTGTATATTGCATTGTATGCCCACCACCCAAAGTCAAATCATCTTCCATCACCACATATTTGGCCTCCTTTACCTTTTACTATCTCTCCACCCACTTCCCTCTGGTAACTACCATACTGTTGTCTGTGTCTACGAGTTAAATTTTTATATCCACCTAAGAGTGAAATCATATGGTTCTTAGCTTTTTCTGACTGACTTATTTCATTTAGTATATTTTCAAGGGCCATCCATGTTGTCCCAAATGGCAGTATTCATCTTTTCTTATTGCTGAGTAGTATTCCATATGTATCACATCTTCTTGATCCAATCCACTATCAAAGGACACTGGTTCTCTTCATGTCTTGGCCACTGTGAATAATGCTGCAATGAACATATGTGTTTAACTGTACCCTCATCTTCCATGCCTCCTCCCTGTGCTCTGACAATGAGAGGAATAGTGTATGCTAACTGATGAAGACGAAGGGCCTAATCCTGAACACTTAAGAGCTAGGAACAAAGAGGGGAGATATGCTGGGAGCCGAGGTACTTCTCAGGTAGAAACTCATTCAATGCATCTCTTTGACGAAGTCAGACTTTTCTATTGTGTCTTAAGATTGTCTTACAAATATCTTACCTTCCACATGGGAGCATATCTTATTTGTCTGTACCCTCCACTATTCCTTGCACATACTAGACATTCAAACATGTTAAAATCCAATTTAAAAAATCATTCTGATTTACAGAAATTTACATCTACTTTGTGATGAGAGAGACTCTGGAAGAAAAACGTGAAACACACGATATTCGTGAAGCTCAACATCCTAACTAGAAATGTTCAGAACAGTGTTATGAAGCCCTGGAGAGAAAGATGTAATAGAATTAAGGATAAACAAACTTATTCAAATAAAATAATGGACTCCCTAAATTCCAAATGTGCTGGCATGTAAATATCTTCTCAACCTCAATTTACCTATGCTTACATAGGTATATTCCAATAGCAAATATTGGTTAAGCCTAACACAAAATCATGGTTTTACCGTTTGGATGAAAAACAAATGACTTTGTCATGTTCTCAGTCGACTTTCTTAATATCTTTTACCCCACCCTTATTATGTCAGTATTTTAAGCAATATTGTTATAGCAAAGACATTTTTGGAGAACTTTAATAAGCCAAATTTATTTTTCCAAAATTTTTAGAGTCTTTGAAATTTTTTGACTCCAGTATGTTAGCTATTAATCTCTTAATCCTAAATTAAAGTTTAAATGTGTCAGAGTCTCCACTATTTAAAACAAAACTTTGGGAACAATTGTTAAAAAGTCTTTTTTGATCATCCCCTTAGTTTATCTGTTAAGTAAATTTAGTGTTCTTATTTTACATTTTTTTATAGATTCACCCATCTATTCCTATCTGAAAACAAATCCAGAGAAATGTAAGTTCTAAAAAACTTTCCACACAGAATTCTATTTTGAATTTCAAGTTATTGGAGTACACCTAATGACTACTTTGGTATGAGGAAAAGGCTAATCAACCAGTGCATGTGGAGGACTGTGTGTGTGTGTGTGTGTGTGTGTGTCTTTGAATTGTGTAATAAAAAAACACAGAAATAAAATTAGTATAAATAGTTTGGTCGGGTGTACTTAAGAGTGGGAAGTGAAAACATTTTCAAAACGTAAGCAACATAAGAATAAATAATGCAAAGCATGGGAAACCTAAGATGAGTATGAATTACAGAGAAGGGAAATTGGGAAAAAAATAATTTTTAACGTAGCTATAACTATTTCTCAGTATAAAGCCACATTTTTTTTATAGTAAAGACGACGATATTATATTTGTCCTTCCTTATCTGAAGTTTTGCTTTCTGCAGTTTCAATTATCCATGGTCAACCATAGACTGAAAATACTAAATGAAAAATTCCAGAAATAAGTCCATGAGTTTTAACTTGTGCCCTGCTCTCAACAGCATGATGAAATCTTGTGCTGTCCTCCTCTGTCCTGCCTGGGATGTGTATCATACCTCTGTCCAGTGTCTCCACACGGTAGATACTACCCGCTCATTAGTCAGTTATCAGATCAACTAATATTGTGGCATTTTGTTCAAGTATCCCTTATTTTACTTAATAATGGCCCCAGAGTGCAAGAGTAGTGATGTTGACAGTTAAGCTATGACAGAGAAGCCATGAGTGTTTTCAAGTGAAAAGGAGAGTACAGTACAATGTTTTGAGAGGCCACATTTGCATAACTTTTATTACAGTATATTGTTGTAATTGTTCTATTTTATTATCAGTTATTGCTAATCTCTTACTATGCCTAATTTATAAACTTTATCATATACATATGATAAAGGGGATAAGGGGAGACTATTGTATATCCATTAAGACAATCCTACACTCAGTTAAAAATAATGTTCAGATAACACTCAAACAATTTTGCTCTTACCTGAATTTCCTTAAATATGTTTTTCTTATTAGCAAGGGGACATGCTTAATAAGATCATGAGTTTAGTCCCTTTGGTCACCTTAGCTCTCGCTATGGATTAATAGGCACCCTGGTTTTCAAATCAGCCCTCATATGAATTTATTGGGTATGAAGCAGTTCTTCAGTGAATAATGATTTAGTAGATGAGATCACAAGGATTAATGTGCTTAGTATAGTGCCTACTACATAGAAGCTCTCTACTATCTATTTTTTCTCCTTCCATCATTTGCAACTCCATATAAAAATAAAACCATGCCCAAAAGAACTGTACAAGACAAGCATTATTTATTATAAATATTTTATAATTTATTGTTAAAGACATTTAGAACACCACCACCACCACCACCATAAATACTGAACATGGTTTTATGAAAGTTACAATTTTATTATAAAAATATTTCCTAAATACCATGATAATCCACTTGTTTTCTTCTTAACCTCATGATAGCAGCTGAGATTAGGTTATAATTTAACCTTAGCAGACATGAAAATGTGTCTTGGTTTACAAATATAGTCTAACACGCCAGAATATTGATAAGGATTTCCACATGCTCCAGATGAACTGCCAAGATATGGATAGCTGAGGCATCTCAGAGGGAAGGGGGTGGGTGGGAGGAGATTAACCAAAGACTTTATATGTGTATATACATTCCCTATGTACACAGATAATAGGGTGGTGAAGGCCAGGGGTGGGGCGGGAACTGGGTGTAGGGAGGCAATGGGGGATAAAAAGGGGGACATCTGTAATACTCTCAACAATAAAGATTAAAAAAACAAGTTTAAAAGAAATATACACATATCTAACTAGAAATGTTAAAGATACTAACTAGAAATATTACAGTAAGGCTGGTAAACTGTGACCACCAACACTGAAGTCTACACACCTGAGAAAGCCAACAACAAAAAAATTAAGATATTTGGCATCAGGTGGACATCATCTAGGTTTAGGGATGACTTACTGCTTTCATACTGTAGAGTCTGTTACTGCCCCAACCTTGTGAGAGGGTTAACTTGAAACAGGCAGATAGGGCAGGGGTCCAGGGGAAACAAAGGCAGGTGGAACACAGGCAGGGGCAGACTTGGCAGTTTGAGCAGCCTAACCACAGGAACCAATCAAGCAGAAATAATAAAATGTTTCTGGACTCAAAGTGGGAGGCCTGGGAAAACAAGGGAGGGCCTGCAGTCACAAGGTGTACGAACCCATAGAAACAGAAAAAATTCAGCATAGGAACAGAGAAAGAACACAGGGGGAAAGTTCAGGCCCATTGCTGGGCACAAACCACTGAGGGAATCAATCAGGTGACGACACAGGTAGACATAGAGCAGGCTTGTAGCAAATATATACCCCTGGACTACAAGGCCAGCCCACTATTGGTTCCCCTTCTCCTTGTGGGGAGTCTGAATCTGCTTGTAATAAATTTTCCACACTTTTGCTAATCTTCTGGCCCGCAGAGCTCATTCTTGGGGGTCGAAAGACACGACCCCGGGAAAACACCTCGGCTCACCGTTCCCGGTTATCACTTGGACTTTCCGAGCTCGAAGAGTATACGATTCCAAACACTCGCTTTGTCCTTTTTCTCATGCTACATCTCTGATGTTTTCCTAACTCGCAGTCTTCTAGAATGAGCTTTCAGATTTTCACTACACAGCACTGGGTCAAATCTCTTCTAAACAGGATCTCATTGTTCTCATGCCTCCTCTATTCGCAGAGAGCCGGTCAAAGTCTTGGAGGTGGAAACGAGTTGCCAACTGATTTACCATTTTCCTCAAGGTAAGAAATGCTGAAACAACTTGGAAAGTAAGGAACATAGTGAAGACAATGTGTATCGCTTTTTCCAAGGGCAGACTTGTTAGGCCTTCATTAAAGAGCAAGAAAAGAATTAAAGGCAACTGCAATAGAAGGCTCAAAAGCCAAAAGCCAGCTAATTCAGGAACCTGAAACGACACACATTGAAAGTAATTGGATCAGTAAAGTATACTCTTTAGTTTATACAGATAAACAAAATATAGCAAATACTTAGCACTACTGTGAACCTGTCCTCAGAGAACTTACAGTCTAGATTAGAAGAGAAAACTAATTTATGTGACAACCCTAAAATACTACACCTTAGTGAATAATTAAATGTGTCACTTAGAAATATAGACTAAATGCTACAAGAAGTAAGATAAGAGAGTGATCAGAGTAGGTGAAAGAATTCAGGATGTAGGCTTTTAAAGCTGGGTAGAAGGAGGAAGAGGCAAGAAGGTAATTAAGCAAAGATGTGGGATGAGCATGACTGAGAATCAATATGTCAGCCTGGAATAGATGTTTAGTTTAGGAAATAGCAAGAAACACAGTGAGATAGGCTGGGTGGGACCTAATTATGAAGGGCCTTTTAGAAAACCTTCGGAATCTTTAGGCATTATCCCCAAGCTCTGGTAAATACCTGTAAATGCTTAGGTAGCTTGATGATTCAGAAAACATGTGCCCAGCATAGGAAATGAGTTTATAATTTCTCCTCATTTTCTTTTTAATCCTCACCTGAGGATATGTTTTTATTGATTTTTAGAGGGAGAATAAGCGAGAGAGAGAGAGAAAGAGAGAGAGAAAGAAACATTGATGTGAGCGAGAAACATCAATCAGTTTCCAACCAGGGATTAAACCCACAACCTAGGTATGTGTCCTCACCAGGAATTGAACCCACAACTTTTTGGTGCACGGCATGACACTCTAACCAACTGAGCCACTCTGGCCAGGGCCCCCACTTTCTTATTCAGGATCCAAATGAACATGTTTAATTGACCGAGTATTTTCAAGACTGGTGAGAAGAGGGAAAATGGTCAATTCTTAAGTGCTTACTATGTTCAGGTACTTTATATAAATTACTAGAGGCCCAGTGCACGAATTTGTGCACAGGTGGGGTCCGGCTGGCCCGTCAACCTCCTGTGTGCGTCCCTTCCCCCGGCTGGCCTGGCCCAATTGCTCCGATTGTCCCAGCATAGGAAATGAGTTTATAATTTCTCATTTTCTTTTTAATCCTCACCTGAGGATATGTTTTTATTGATTTTTAGAGGGAGAATAAGCGAGAGAGAGAGAGAAAGAGAGAGAGAAAGAAACATTGATGTGAGCGAGAAACATCAATCAGTTTCCAACCAGGGATTAAACCCACAACCTAGGTATGTGTCCTCACCAGGAATTGAACCCACAACTTTTTGATGCACGGGATGACACTCTAACCAACTGAGCCACTCTGGCCAGGGCCCCCACTTTCTTATTCAGGATCCAAATGAACATGTTTAATTGACTGAGTATTTTCAAGACTGTGAGAAGAGGGAAAATGGTCAATTCTTAAGTGCTTACTATGTTCAGGTATTTTATATAAATTACTAGAGGCCCAGTGCACAAATTCGTGCACAGGTGGGGTCCGGCTGGCCCGTCAAACTCCCGGTCTAGGGGACAATTTGCATATTAGCCTTTTATTATATAAGGATTTCATTTAATTCCAACCAACTTGTGAAGTAAATATTTTCCCCATTTTATTTATTTATTTATCTATTTATTTTCCCCATTTTACATATGAAGAAACCAAGGCTATTAAGTAAACAGACCACAGTGACAAAAGAAGTAACCTTGGAACCAGGCCTTAACTATAGGCCTTCGTTCCTTCCACCACAGCACACTGCCCTTTCCTTGCTATGGAAACCTCCTTGCATTTACGTGTAGCACTGAAAGAAAGGAAAGGAGAGCCTACCTTTTCCTGGAGGTTACCCATGTAGCCCAGATACAGCCTGATAGCTTCAATTAAGGTTATGAGGATGATAACAGTGACCACAATGAATTTGTAGTAATCAGGCAAAATTGGATACTAAAGAAAACAAAAATAAACATGTTTGTAAAATCTCACATATAATAAAAATGACCTGAGATAGAAATAAAATATTAAGAACTTGGATTTTATTGGCAATGTAACAATGCCAAGGGATGAGCAGAAAAGACCTTAGCAGAAGTATTAAAGTTTAGACTTACTTTTATTCGAAGCATCATAATGCTGCTCACCCACCAAAGTGGGAAAAAGTAAGCATTAAAATAAAGTGACATCTGCAATGCTAAACTGGAAACCACTTCATTATCTACAATAGAAACAGGGAGAAAAGGGACAAACTCTTATTCCTGGTCTATGCCCTATAAATCCTTTAGTTCCTTAGAATAACTATCATATTGGCTCAACAAAACTACAAATGTTAAGCATCTTTATAATCATTGCCAGTACAAGGAAATATTCACCATCATATTATTTAGTTCATATATTGGTTACTTGGGGGTTTGTTTCAATTTTTTCAATTACTTTAGCATTTTGCTATTACAGTCTGCTTTTTGCACACTATTGGTATAGACTAAATGTAGACTATCAATATAAATCCTACTGAGACACAGTAATTATTATTGCCAACTTTGTAGAGTTCTATGTAAAGAGCTCATAAAATACATAAAACTACTCTCTCACAAATATCATACAAAAAAGCATCTCCCCAAATTATAATTAGACACACCCCTTTTCAGCATACCCTAATCCCACCCATTCATTAATACCCAATTAAATGCCACTTTTCTATAATTTTTTTTTCTTGATTATATTCCCCAACTCCAGTAGATATCTTGTTCCTTTGTAGGTATTTATCACTCTAACCTGTATACAGGAGTGTTAGCAAACAACCATACTTCCCTCACTTAAGACAGTCTGGTGTACTGAAGAGATCGTGAGCTTTGGAGTCCAAGTAAACCCCGAATTCCCCAAACTCCCCAGTAACTCTGGCTGCCAGACTTGAGATAAGTTATTTGACCTCTTTGGCTGTCAATTTCTTCATCTGAAAAATGGTAACATTAAAGTTATCTCACAGATTGCTTGTGAGGATGAGAGAGAATATAAATTATTTCACTCTAGCACTAGGCCTGGCCCATAGGAGGCACTCAATAAATGTATGTTCCCTTTCCTTTTCTTTCACTGATGTACAGGCTCAATGTAAACACAGACCACATTCTACCCACTTTTGAGATCCCCAGAGAACCTAGCATCTTACTTTAAACTGGTAAATATCAAATACACATAAGCAGAATGAATTATGAAAACATTGTCATAAGGACATTGTCAGCGTAGCTATTTGTAGTACATGAGTTTCATTTATATAAGGCTGATTACATAATATTTTGCTTTTGTGTAAGGGAGAAGGGTCCTAAATTAAGAATTTTTTAAAAACTGAGCCCTACATTTGCATCCTAAATTTATAAAACAGAAACATATTTAGAAATCAATTGCTCTAAATGTAAGAATTTACAAAGGCTCTAAAATAAATTTCTTAGAAACAGATTGGTTTTTTTTTCTCCACAATCCAGTATTTTATATCTGTCGTTTAATAATAATTTTAAAATATAAGGAATAATCATGGTCTCACAGCAAGGTGTTCTTTAGCTCCAAGAATATACCTGATTATGATCTACTTTTTAAATATGTTTGTTTTTCTTAAATTGATTTTAGAGAGAGAGTAAGGGAGAGAGATAGAGAAACATCAATTGGCTGCCTCCTCCATGCTCCCTACTGGGGATCTAGGGATGTACCCTGACCAGGAATCGAACTGGTGACTTCTTGGTTTATGGGTTGACCATTAACCACTGAGCAGCACCAGCTGGGTTGATCTACTTTTTAAAATCATTATTATGATGTACTTTGCTTGCACCTATTTATTAATTTACCACTGATAAAGGGATGAATTCTTAAAATCTGTTAAATCTAGGATTTTTTTTCATAATAATAATGCACCTCTTGGTCAGCTATGGACATGGTAATGATATACACTTGTAATTACAGTACAAATAAACCTACTCCAGATCCACAAAGAAAATGTGGAAAAATAATGATAAATTAGTTAGGCTGAAAATTTTAATATCTTTAGAGCAGAAACTGTAGTCAAATTTTGCAAAGAAGTTTTTGTTAAAAATTTTTGTTCAATAACATTTTAAGAGTTGTGCTATTTCTGTATTTCAGCATATCAAACTTATAATCATGCAACTGAAAATCAAGTTAATATGTAAATGAATGTTGAAAGCACAGACATGAATTTACTAAATTTTGCAAAAGTACAAGTTGAGTTCTGTAAATAGAATTTAAATTAAAACATATATAATATAAATGAGGGATAGGCAAACCACCAGCCAGCTGTCTGGTTTTGTATAGCAAGTGAGCTTTTTCACATTTTTAAACGGTTGGGGGGAAAAAATCAAAGAATAATATATTTTGACACTGAAAATCTTATGAAATTCAAATTTTGGTATCCACAAATAAAGTTTTATTGGAACACTGCCATGTCCACCCAATTACCATTATCTATAGCTGTCACAGAGATTTACCACGTACAAGTCTAAAATATTTGCTACCTAGCCCTTTACAGAAAATGTCTGCTGACCCCGATACCTTGCATCATCAGATTCTAGAGCCTGTTAAGCCTTAGCTTTAGAAATCAGAAAAGTAAAAACCTAATTTTTCACACTATGTTTTCTGCTGTACATCCTAAATTAGGGGGGGACAGGCAAGTAACGAAGTTGAAAAATGCAACTATGGAAACTGACTTTACTTTTCTCTGACCCTTTTAAAAATTCCTAAACCAAGAAAGAGGAAAAGATTTCTATTTCCTGCAGAGTTCAGGGATAAAAACGTATGGATTTGGTTGACCGTATGTTGTCTATCATCATGATTTAAGAAGGGGAAACTGGAGGAAATCGCGTTATTACTTGTTGTCAGGTTGCATGAGGTAGCATCATGGCATTTTGTTAGCAGATTTGGTGAAAGAGTCATAT